TGGACTTAGTCATGCTGCTGACGGCAGCTTGTAGTGCCAGAGGACGGTATCTAGTTGGTACTAGAAGAAGTATCAAAGTTGATAAGCGCAGCATGCTGTTGACGGCAGCTTGTAGTGCCAGAGGATGTGTCTAGCTGGTACTAGAAGAAGTATCAAAGTTGATAAGCGCGGAGCTGTTACGTCTGCTGTTGTTCTTGCCGTTTTTCTGGCGAGTAAACCAGGAAGAACTTCATGGCGGTTCGATGATCATCCGACAAGCGGAGAGAAATTCGTAGCTCTTTTTATGAGTGTTAAATGCGCAAACACACCTAATATTTAGCTCAATTGTTGTTTTGCAAGTGCTGTCGCACCTGGTTGTGCAGCGAACTGTCCAAAGGAGTCGGGCTTTGCACTACACAAATATGAGCCGACAGGTCGCGTTACGAGTCTGCCAAACTCCAGAGTCTGATGTTTATTAGCCACTGAGCATTGGTTATTATGATCTGCTGGGATTTCATGAATGGCAAGCTATTTGAGCTTCTATTTGCACTGCCCTTATACATAAAAAAGTAAGAAATTGTCTAGCTCCAATTAAGCGGTGCCATCACAATGCGACCCTAAAAGGGAATGTTCATCACAGTGGAAGTAATGCATTTGTTCATTTTTCACTTTTAACAGTCACATGGCACTCTTATGTTTACTCAGTGAGGCTGAAACACGCCCCACTTGAAACCTCACATTAAAACCCATCAGATATGGTAGGGTTTCAACATGTTGGCTGCGTTGTCACGCGTCTGTTCACATCTGGCTGGCGCCTGTGTTCTCAGGATCTCCACAGAATCAAACTGTCCTGCCATTATTGATGGCCCATATTCAGCGGTATTTACAAAAACTGAAAATTGCTATTTGCAATACGCACCAGCTATAGGTGGTGCACTGTACGATTCGAGACGCTGCTCGGAGGAGGGTTAGACAGTTTGTTAGTACAAAAACAGATATGACGTGTAGCGGTATGGCCCATACCACTCCCACTGGATGAAGTCATGAGCTACACTGAAAGATAGCAAACCAAGATACTTTTCCAAACCATGGAAGTTCGCCACTCATATATTTGCCACAGTGTGAAAGCTTATATTATAGCCTCGTTACCATGTTTAAGTGATGATTTGTGCAATTTTGTGCATGCTGCAGAAAACTTCATGAATTATAATTGAAGTACGAACTAAATGGTACTTTAAGGTAATATGTACCGAGCCTGTGCGTGATGGATTTGCTGCAGTAGTACACCGCTAGCAAGTAACGCCATCGCTGCTGTACGGGACCGAGAGTTTAAAGTGGTGATGGTTTGCAAACAAATGCCGTCATCAGTACTTGCAGTGCCAGGAATATGGAGTCGCTTCTTCAACGGAACCCTAACATTTAACATCCCATGCAGTAGCGCTTGTATCACAGCCATGCTCAGACTCCAGCATTGCACAATTCAATGCACTCAGATTTTGCAGGTAAATCAGCATGATCGAAATATGAATATTAAAAGAGTGCACGCAGATGTTTTTTGCCACTACAAATTCTTCAACCTTTCGAAAACTGATGAAACTACTTTGCCGTTTGGAAGGTGCTGGTGAAGTAAAGATGTTAGGTGAAAGGCGTAAATAGTGGCCATGACTTCGTGTTTGATCACTCGAAAGATTTCGCTTCACTGGTCGAGCTCAATCATGTTGGCGGAGTGCAGCTCTCCATAATATTCAGTGTAATTGTGCTACATGCAATTCACAGCAAAAAAGTATGCTTTTATTTTGATCTCGCTGAAGGATATTATACATTAAATGCAATCGAAGGGACTTGCGAGTGTGAAGAAAATAATACACGAGGGGAAGTAAGCTCAGCTCGCTCTTTGCGAGTTTAGCTGATCGTTCGTCACTCTCACTCTCGGTGCTTTCACAGCCTTCTGTGTCTAGTGAAAAATAATCATCGTCAAGATGGTTTTTTTCAACTTTACTGCCGAAAGCAATTCTGAAGAATTTTCTTCACTGAAGACTTTAATGTTTATTTGGACTTGGAGAACATTTTGCTCTCAAACTGGCCAACAAGCAAATAACTTGCAGTGTGCTGCCACCTATCAACAAACAAGCGGCACAGCCAGCACAGTACTAGCCAGTTTGAGGGGGCTAAGTTACAAAAGAGCTAATCCCGAGTCCGCACGACTTCCTGTATGCAATGTTATAAGATTCTTGCTGTTCAAAAGAGCTGACGAATGCTATATGCAAGTAAAACAAGGTGAACTTCAACCGAATAGGTCAGGCGATAATGTTTAACTAACCTACGTGGCTACAGAAAACCTTGTGAAGCTGATATGAGTACGCTGTGGACTGTCATTGAAAGCGTGAGTTGTCTTGTATTTCCACGAAGACCTCGCGTCTCGCTAGAATGGATTAGGTGATTTATCATGTCACAGAGGGCCCAGTTTTTTCACTGATACAGGAAACATGCAAAGCCGTAATTTTATAACACCAAGGCTAGCATAGCCGAACAAGGGAGCGATTGCATAGTGCTGCCATACTGACCCTCCTCATGGGGACGCTCCTGAGTTCGTATGGTTGTGTGACAGTCTATGGGCATTGTGAATACATCTAACTGGACAGCAGAGGGCTATCACTTCACACCAGCTGCAGTTGTCGACGTGATGATGTCCCATATGGCAACGCTCTTCACGTTACTATTTTCTGGTCAATGCTGTGTCGTCTAACATTCGATATCAAAAGCGTCTAGGTGCCTTTTGAACCATCTTAATTAATAGAAAGACTTCATGCAGGATCGAATGAGCGGTCACTAAATTGCTGAGGATTATATTTTCAGATTGTTGCAATGGTTTGGAAATACCCTAGCCAAGGTGTTACATTCAATACACTGACATTGGCAAGCATAGTCACAGGTATAATATAGAATGTAACGCATCATGCATGAATGACTGCACATGCCAGCATTGGTACTCGCATGTGTTTTAGAATGGAGTCTGCTATAACCATTGTTCAGACAATCTGATTAGAATACTACACAAATTTGTCACTAGCATTGTTCGATAATATCAGCAGCAGTTCGGGGTGGTGCAAATCAATCACACTGTAAAAGAAGTGTGCTCGTAGATATCTTATGTCTATGTACACATTTAGCATCTGCTGCCTGTTGCATAAAAATTTAGAGACTAGAATTTCAAGTTTATTTGAGAAAGTGTTGCTATAAGTCATTATTTTATGAGACAACATTAGTTATTTGCTCAAAAATTGGCTTTTTAAGCACTGTGTCCACCCTTCGGGTTTTTCATCACAGTTCATGAAGAAGTATGTCTGAACCATCAGGCTTGTTGCAGAGACAGCAATAGGTGGATAGCAAAATAATGGCTCACCCAAAGGATTGTGGGCTACGGCGCTCGTCTGCATCGACTTCTTGTTCGAGATGCCGTGCTGCCGTACGGGCATTTTTGCCAGTGCTGTCGCTTCCTGCGTGTTCCATCTAACACCCGCGGTGCCCTTTTCTCACAAATCGCTGCATAATACTTTGGAGAGCTGTATAGTTTAGTTTAATTACAAATGCAGTCACTACGACATAGTTATAATCGTGCGAGCTGTCATTTTTTTAGTAAGCGGCATGCACCTTTGGACACATGCTTGTTGTTTTGCTGCGGAGGGTGTTATACGCATATTTTGTCTCATAAAATGATTTTCTGGACATCACAGCATCACGAAATATGCGTTCATTTGTATTTATTTTGCTTACCCATAAAATTATTTATTTGCCTTTGTGTTAAAACACCATCCCGGGTTCAATATAGTCAACTGTTTGTTACTCTGAAAATAAGATGCGCTCATAGTTTTCTCCTTTTTTACGCCTTTCCATCTTCCTACACGTTAGATCTCGTTCCATCATGCACTCGAACGTTGGGTTTCAATATATGCGAAATTCTCCGCACACAACACATAACAGAGCCTATCGGCACTTTACGCTAGCAAGTCTGACACAGTAAAGATGCTGTATCATGCTACTCCTTGCTTCAAAAAACTACTTCGATCATTTTAGGTCCCATAATACCAATAACAGAGTGGCCTTGTGGGCCTTTTACGTGCTCAGTGGTTTCCATAAATATGACAGAGTAGGCGTACTTCTTCTGTTGTCATCAAACGGATGTTTACATTCGGCAGCATGTGCCCATAAGTGCATGTGAGTGATTTTGAAGTGGTCACCATTTGTGCTCGGAAATAATAAATTGAGGTGGTTCTGGGAAGGATTACTGCATGGAATCAAAGCATAATTGCATGCTGCATTTGAAACGTGCCTCTTATCGTTCTTTGCATTTGCCCATTTCCACTCCTCATTTCGTTCTCTAAAATGCGCGAAATATCGTCTATCCATGCAAAAATAAAAAGAAAGAAAAGAAAAGAACATATTCGCTGAGCAAGCAGTTAGGAACGCTTCGCAGAATTGCACGTCTCTTTCTCTGTTACACTGCGCAGCTGGGACCTTGAAGCGGCGAAAAGATGTGCCTCAAACTGGAAGTACCGTAGAAAATGACGCACCATTTTGCTATCCACCTATTGCCAGTAGTCAAACTCATTGTAGTCATGATATTTACTCTTTTGGCTTATATATTTAACTAAGCAAGTGAACACAAATGTCATATTGGTCAATTTTCTCAGCTTCATTTTCAAATCTGTTATGGCTCTGCATCCTGGCACTCCTTGGCCTTGACTGCCTTCTTGTATCAATAAGGCCTGGTCAAAATCATCATCAGGAAATACGCTAAATGGACATTCTTGCATTTGTCTGTCCTCTTTCATGCCAACAAGGTATTTTTTTTACCCCCCGTGGTAACGTTGAGTCATGTGCTCACCATTGCTGCTAGATTATGCAGCGCGTGTCAGAGAAGTGGCATTACAATGCTTTTGCTTTAGTGCTGTTCCATACGTCCTGTGATGGCTTTCACCAGAATTACTGTTAGAACCATAGTATGTTGTCTTTCTGTGCAGAGACTTCCTGTATCATGTAAGTGCATCAAGGGTGCGATTGACCAACCCTGAGTGTTCCCTCAAGACTGAAGTGTTGTGCGACCGATCAGAGCCCACCGTTGATATTGTGTTCGGTAAGTGTACGTCTTGTACGCAGCTTCTCAGCTGCATGCGAGGCCACGGCAGCCTTTGAGCTCAGCAAACTTAAATATGCAAACACTCCATTCTCACATGTTGCTCTTTCTGAAACCTCATGGACGTGCCGATTGAAGGTGTTGATCGTGGACTACAGTAACACCAAAAATCCTGACATCGTTTCTGAGCACTACTAAACATGCTCTCTCTGGCATGTTTTCTTTTTTTCTCATTAGCACTATCAGTTTTTGCATTTGTGGGGATGTATCACCCCCTGTAAAGTCATTTGTGCCTTGTGGCACACATGTGCTTGCAGATAGGCCGCAGTTAGGGTTAACAGTCGCTGTGTGGTAGGTAGTGCAGTGCTCACAAGAGTTTACCATCATAACCATCATCATAGTTAGCGTGATAGCGCCAGCAGTGACGCCTGGCGGCAAGGCAGCACATGAGACATGAGCGGCTCTCTTTTGCGTGTGATGGCTGGCGCAAATGGTCGTCTCCTGGGGTGGGTCCATGGGGAGAGCGCACACCGCGAGTCGTCTCCCATGGGCCCCTGATGGCGATTCGAGTGTTGACGGCGACGCCTTCGCGTTACCTTGTGTTTGATTGAGTATATTGAAATATTGTACAAGGTTGTTTAGCATATTGATCACTAGTGATGTAATGGATTCATTTGACGATATTGTAGATGTAAAAGTTGTTCGATAAATGTTTTGTTGTGGTTTGCTGCGACTGTGCCTGCTGTGTCTGTTCGCTCTGAGAGCGTGTTGCCTCACTTCGAGACCACACACATTTCCAGAGCCTCCAGTTACTGCTACAACAGCTGCCTAGGTGTTTTGAAAATAAGCAGAAAACTTTTTCGCCTGTAATCACCATCTCTTTGTTCAGTGTGCCAATGCTTGCTTCTTACCCAATTGTTTCCTCTCAATGCTAGCTTTACTAGAACCTCCTACTTGTAGGGTTGCCACCTGTCTGGTTGTAGACTGGCTCGGCTAGTTTTTTGTACAGAGGGCTGGTTGCCGGTCTGCATGGACCGTTATCGGTCATTTTTTAGGGGCGAAGCTCCTTATAACGGCACCCGTTTGTCCCTCGTAGTTGTAGTAGTAGTCGTAGTGTGTAACCAGTCTTACATTTTGACCTCCAAGGTGGTGCTGGTGAGAGATTTCTTCTGTGCGTTGTTGAACAATAAAAAATTCACAGCGTGCGCGTTAAGTAAAAGCCGAATTCTCCTGTCCCTCATTCCCCCTTAGCAGCCATTGGCATGTACATTGAGCACTATCTGACAAAAATGGTTGCTACGCTATACTCGCTGGGCATAACCTTCTTGGTTTTAAAAAGGTTTACCGAGCATTGGGCCGCAGTGCCATGAATACAGTGAACTAGTATATATCATAAACTCGAGGTAGTTAAAGGTGGGAAGTAGACACGAAGCGCAAGCCATAAGAAAGTGTGCGTGTGCCACCTCTCGTTTAGTCCTTGGAATGTCCGCTGGATGGCAGTGCATATGAGGAATATATGATGAAAAGATGCGAGATGGTAATACTTAGAGTGTTGAATAGATGGACAAACGGACACACAGACAGATGCATGGACAAACTCACGGATGGCTGCGCCGACGGATGGATGCATGGACGGACGCAGGGGTGGATGCATAGGACGAATGCAGGGACGGATGCACAGATGGACGTGCGGACCCAGCGGACGGGCGAATGGACGCACGTTTGGTCACAGACGGACGCATGGACGGACGGTTGGTTCGCCTCACTCTCCATCATTCACTCCGTGGATATGCTGCCATTTTTTTTACAGCAGTAAACGAATTGTCATTCTAATCACGGGTAGTTATATGCCAGCAATTAGACCAGTTGGTTAGCTCAGTGTGCCATTTTGGTTTGTACGTTACATTTATTTGGCTCAAAAAAAGCAAGGATACATTAAATGGCTCTGCATGCCAAAGACTTGACATGGCCTCTATTGTTCAACACTAATTTAATCTCCTGGTCATTAATTCCCCCTCCGCCTTCCTGTTGAAGGGCCGGTTTTTTGTTCGAGAAAAAGTGGCAACCCTACTTACTCGTGCAATTTGTTGTCTTCATGAGCTGTACAAACAGTGGCAACTGGCTTTTGTCTAACGCAGATACACTTCACAGAATTGTGTACGACCATTTCCTTTCAGCATGTATATTTCCATGATTGCAGAAGGCTCTCATTCAACATTACTGTAGACTCGTTACTGATTAGAGTTGACTCTTGTTAAATAGAACCTAGAGGGACCAAGGAAATGCGATCTGCTTAGCAGGAATTCAAGATGGTTGCAGTAGTTGGTTACAAAGCCAATCATGGTGTAGGCAGTTCTGTTTAAGCAGTGAATCCCTTTAGTAATTGGCAAAAGGTAGAGCATCTTGAGTGCTGTTAACACTACAACAGCTGGCACATGCAGTAAGAAATGTGCAACAACTCCTTTATTTACTTTCAATTTTAACTTAAAAGTAAAGTACCCTTGAGTGAGATAAATTTATGTCAAGCTTCGTTGTAAAGAAAGTTCAGCAGTTGCAGTTTTCTAGAACTTGTTATGTACTAGGGCTGAAAGTAGGCTAAACAAACTCTCCATTTTTGCTCCGGCAGGAAGTGTTGGACACTGATTATATTAGCATCAGGGTTTAACGATGCAACACACCGCTTAGCTATCTCACAAATTTTCGATGGTTAGTACTGAGCTGGGAGGAGCAAATGTTCGCATTCAAGGCTGTTTTCACAGATTTGTTTTTGATCGTTGCTCATGGACTTGATCTACTCATGGCTCCACTTATGACAGCTGAGTGACTGATCTGTCACACCTCTCGAGAATTTAGGTTGCATTCCCAGCTACAGAAGTCGTATTTAGATGCAGGATAACGCTAAAACACCCATGTGTTTAGATTTAAGTGCACGTTGAAGAACCTCACTTAGGTACTAGTCAAAATGTATCGGGTGTTCTGCACTTAAAGTGCCTGATAACCATATCTTGGTATTGGCCCCTAAAGCCCCAGAACGAAGCTTTTTCTATAATCTATGCTTTTCTCGTTTCTCATACAAAAAGCTTTCCTTCGTCATTTAAAATTGAAAAAAGAAGCGCATTACTCTGACACAGTACATGACCCAGACTTTGGTAACATTTTTTCCTTGTCGTAACTTCTCTCTTAAGTAAAGCGAAATTGGGGGACCCTTAAGCTTCTTATTCAAGAGTTAAAACGCGGCAGTGATATCCTGTCCCTAGTGCGCACTTCAGCAACTTAGTGCATACTCTTTGTTGTATGATGATGTTCGAGAAGTTTAAGGGGAGATGCGGGTCGAAAAACGCGAGATGTCTTCAAAATTACCGATTTCTTATTTTCGCCTGTTAGATAACATTAGTATCTCCACTGTCCAGGAAAAAAAAAAAAAAACATGTTGAGACTTAACTGGAAATGCTTTGAAATTGCATCTAAAGAGCACAAGGTGCCTGTTAAAAGGCTAAAAGTGTGCAGTCTTTGAGCACCTTGTCGCCGATTATGCGCCGCCGCTCACCATTGTCGATCGCATTAGGCGAAGCGTCGAGCCTCACTTTTAAAATAAAAACAGTTTCTTGCGCTCATGTGGTGCAAGAAATAATAAAAAGAAGCACACTCTTGCGCATTTTTTGAGCACCGCGACTGGCTTTTATATTACGTGGTACGAATCTAGGCACTGCCATTGGCTGCTGCACGCCTGTATGTGCTGTGAAGCCTACTTGCGGGGTCCATGTCTTATTGAGCAGCGGAGCTGAACAATGCTTCTCTTGTGTATTTATCTTCGTAAAAAGCCATTGCTCGCACGTGAAAGCGGTTGTGGCAGCGGGCTCTGTAGGAATAGGCTATGAGCAGCTGGTCCTATTTAAGGCAAAAGTCATTCACAGCCATCAGCCGGAAAGTTCATGAAGCTGTAGATTGAAGACGCAGTATGGCAGGAAGAGCTTTGTTGCCCTTCAGTGTGCATTGTTTTACCTGTCTGAGGACCAGACGGAGATTATTATAGAGAGGCCTTTCTCTATGCAAATGATTCTGTTGGAAAGCCTTCAATTGGCTTGTCTCGCAAATGATTGGTCTATCTCGAGTGCACAAACTTATTTTTCAATCGCTGTTATGGTTTTTTTAGTTTCCTGGTGTCTTTCCTTTTTTCATGAGTGTGTCACGAGTTTGGTAAATTCATGTTTTAAATATGCTCACAGGCTTGTGGTGTACACGTATCCCGAAGGAGTACGGCCACCAGCGTGGGTCCGGTCTCAGCGAGCCGCAGGGCACGCGTTAACCGTCGCCGTGGCGGGAAACACGATACTGCTCAAGTCGCAACACTTTATTGTGGCAACACCAAACGCAGTACAGCCCGTTGCAAAAAGGCGCGGCGGGAAAGCAAGTAGGCTTATCCACGCCACGGGCACAAAGTACTACACAGGGTGCCACGAGCACGTCTCCGCGGTAAAGGTAATCCACGGAGACACCGGGACAAAGGGGCCCGGTTGCTCGAGCGAGGGCAAAGGCGCTCGCGTTGGCTTCGAAGGGAGACGGGTCGGCGTAGCTAGGCCACGCACTAGGACACCGTACTGCCCTTCGGCCGTGAGTACGCAGCGGGGCAACAAAAGGTGAGCGTTCGCATCGGGCGCGAGGCGCCGTCAGCGAAGTCCGACGAGCCCCGAGCGACGGGACTCGACGGACGGAAAAGAATGCGTGGCTCACCGTTTGAAGTCCCGGACTGTACTCACTGCTCCCGACGCAGCGCGCGAAAACCTCTCGGGAGGCTCCCCGCGCGGCGCCACAGTCAACATCCGTTACCGGGTGAGGGAGTTAAACGTCACTCCGCCCTTCCCAGCGCGGCTGACGGCAAAGGAGGGCAGACATGTCGGGACATGAGAAAAGAGGCGGCAAAGCCCGCGCAAAGGCAGCGGGCCAGCCTCAATTCCCACATCCCCCTCTCCTAAATTTGCCCTTTACCGGTCTGCAAAAGG